CCCGGCTCAGGGGCCGCGGTGGCCGCCGCGGAGCAAGGCTGCCTCCAGAGAGCGCCCGGGCGCAGAAGGGTTAACGGGCCGCCGGGGCCGCGCAGAGCAGGTACAGACCCTCCCTGGGACCCCCGGCCCCGGCCGCCCCCTCTCCCCGCCCTGTTAGACCACCCGCCCCGCGCGCCCGCGCCGCCGCCGCTCCCTGTGCCCTGCGCCCCGAGGTCGGCCCCCAGCCACGACCCCGGCCCCAGCTCTTACAGCCTCGGAAGATCTTCCAGTCCCTGGGGTCGAATTCCTGGGGAGGGGGTTCTGATCCCTTGGAACTCTGGCCCCATCACCCAGGCGGAGAATCAGCCAAAATTCCTACTAAGTCACATAGTAAAAGTTGGCAAACATACTACTCAGGACCTTCCTGCACGCGCCTCCTGCGCTCCTCTAAGGATGTGTGCCCCCGGGACCCCCTTCAGTCCTGGAGTTGGGGGACGGGCGCTGGGAGGGATGCAGGTGGGTGCCCTTGATCTAGCTCAGACTGATAACTAGAAAGGATGGACACCTGTTGGGATAGTCCTCCAGGACCCAGGAGTGGAGCACACTGTGAGGAACAAGGAGTTCTGACCCAGGATGGGGACTCCATGCCAGCCCTGAAACATGCTGTCCAGTCTCCTCCCTTGCAGCAGCGACCCATTTCCCAGAAGGAGGTCCCTCTGGGGGTGAAGGGTTAGCCCTGACCAGGTCTCCTCCTTGATCCTCAGTGGCCAGTGTGGAGGTATGGCCAGGAGGGGCACAGGTTTGTCTAGACCAGTGTCCAGCCTGGCACCAGAGTAACCACTTCTGATCTCTCCTTCCCTCACCAGGGGCAGTGAGACACACCAGATGAGGGACATGAAAAGGGGTGAAAGCACAAATGTGTGTCTGTTTGGGCAGTGGAGGGGGTGTCGGCCCCCTGCCTGGCTGCGCAGGAGGGAGGTGGGACTGTTCCAGAGAGGGAGCCAGGCCTGGCTGCGGCCTCAGGAGCTCACGTCACCCCCATCCCCCACCCCTCACTTCTCCAGGGAACTGCCAAAGCCAAACCCAGCTCAGGATGGGATTATGTGTACTGGGTAGACCCATAGGAGAGACAGCAAGATATAGACCTGGGGCAGCGGAGAGAAGCGGAGGCAGAGAGGCAGTGGAGAGAGGACCCAGCAGCAGAGAAGGGTCAGACAGTGACCATCACCCCCATCTCTCCTTCCCTTCAACCTCAACTAACAGTCAGGCAGAGAGCTGAAGGTTTGGGTGGAAGGTTGGCTCTTCTCTGGAGCCCCTACCCTCTACCCCCTCCATCAGGGCAGAGTTGCTGACCTCAGTAGCCAGCCCAGCGAGGGGAAGGAGCAGCCATCAGCAGCCCCCTTCCCAACCCCAAGCAGCTGAGGTGACCCTGCGGGCTCAGGCTCAACCACTGTGATCCCTCCCTCAAATTCTCAAGTCCCCTGGTCTCGGGTCTTGGGGTGTGGGAGGCGGGCTGAGGGTTGCTACCCCCAAGCACATTCCTGCCCCTCTCTCTGTCATTTTTCTGCCCCTGAGCTGGCCCACCTCCGCATTAGCTCCTTGGATTCCTCTCCTGGGTGCCTTTCAGATCCAACAGAAACATTTTTTTTTTTTCCTGGAAAGCAGAACCAAGAGCGAGATGAAGGGTGGGGGTAGGAAGAGCTCATAGTGAGCAGGAAGGGGCTGGAGGGCAAGGGAGGGTGGTGGGGAGAGTCAGGCTTTGAGACCAGGGGAGAGTTCCAAGCTCCACTTCCCCAATTATCAAAGCTGGACTTCAGGATGGACTTCCCGGGGACCCACGACGGGCAGCTCTAGCTGCAACTCTGCTTCCCAGGTTCCCCCAGCCCATCGTAGTCACGCCTGAAATAAGCCCTCATTGAACCAGTGCCGGACGCTGGCCCCTAGAGGGAGGTTAAATCGCAGTGGGAAAATCACCTACTTCTTTAGAGATTAAACCATCAACCCACTTAGTTTATCCCTTGGCTAAAAGTGTTTGAGGCAGGCAGAGATGTGCCTGAGTGTTCCAGAAGGAGCTTAGCTGAGAAGGGAAGAAAAAGCTGGGAGCAAGTAGGAAACAGAAAGCCCAAGGGACTTCTTTTAACTCCTCAGAGGGGCTGTCTGGCATGTTGTCACCGGAGCCTCCCCCTTCAACTTTCCAGGACCTCTGGGAGGGCAGGAGGGGGAGTCAGATGCAAACCATCTTAAGAAGGATGCGTGTGTGCCTGAGCTGGCCTACAAACAGTCCCTAGCTGGGACTAGGGAGGAGCTGAGAAGTTCCTAAATTGAGGGGAGGGGCCAGAGCCTGAGTTGGGAGGCTGAGGTCAGACCCCCACCCTCTAGCCTCAGCAGATGGACAAGGGCAGCATTCCTTCTTGCTCTCACCCTTAGGATCTTAAAGTGGTGGAGCAGTCTTCCCCCACCCCTCCAGCCTCAGTCTGAGATGTCCTTCTGAGGAGTCATCCCTCCCAACCCCCAGCTTTCTGGAGACTGGAGAGGTAACCACCAGGCTTCTGTCCCTGCAGAGTGCACCCCCTCCACGCCCAGATGCCTGAGTAGTGTGTTTACTTCCGGTCCCCTCCTCCCTTGCCCCGTGGCAACCAAGGGAGGAGCCATGAAGGAGTGGGCGGGCAGGTAAGAGGTGGGGCTGGTGGGTTGGGGGGAGGGATAGCTCTGTCCCTGGAAGTGAGGGAAAGGAGATCACTGGGAGGGGCTGGGGGAAGTGATAACTTCTGCTTTCTGAGAAGTTGTCATCAGGATGTGGGGAGCCTGCTAGGGGTGAGGGGTGGTGTCATAACACTTCCTCTGGTTCCCATCTGACACCCACACTCCTGCCTTTGGTTTGCAGGCCCCAGTTGTATCTGATGCTGCTTCTGTCCCTCCCTCAGCTCTGCCTAGATCAGGAGGTGAGCCAGGGACAAGAGGCTATGATCCTTCTCCCTCCACCCCCCATCCCACTTCTCCATTTTCCGCAGCCTCGGATGAGCCATGGCCTCTTTCTCTCACACTTGGCCCTCCCAGCACCACCCCCCCAACTCCCTAACTCCTTGTAAGATAACATCTAGTCCCACCTCTGCTACTGAATGTGACCTTAGGCCAGTAACAACCGCCTCGAGCGTTGGACTAGATACTCTGTACAGTTCCCTCGAAAATCATTCTAATTTTGTCTGACCTTTTTGTCCACATAGGTGTTATCTGGATACTCTCTTCAGACACCCCCTGAGGAGGGCCAGGGCCCTGAGGGCGTCTGGGGTCCTTGGGACCAGTGGGCCTCTTGCTCCCAGCCCTGTGGGGTGGGAGTGCAGCACAGGATCCGGATGTGTCAGCTCCCTAGAGCTCAACTCCACCAGGGCCTGCCCCTCCCACCCCGGCCCCCAAGACATCCAGAAGCCCTGCTCCCCCGGGGTCAGGGCCCCAGACCCCAGCCTTCCCGAGAAACCCTCCCCCTGTACAGGCCACAGCCTCGGGGAACAGGTGGCCCACTTGGAGGTCCTGTTTCCCAATTAGGGAGAGAGGAGGCCCAGGAGACTCAAGGAGCCAGGAGGTGAGGGGTGGGGCTTTGAGGGAAGGGGCGGGGCTTGGGATGAAGGAAAGGGGAACAAAGGACACATGGCTTGGGAGGCTTGTTTTTAGTGCTAGGAAGTAGGCTGGGGAGGCAGGGTCAGAGATGCTAGAGCTGTGACCCCATGTCTGCAACACCTTCTCAGGTCCCGGGTTCGAGACCCCATCAAGCCAGGAATGTTTGGTTATGGCCGAGTGCCCTTTGCTTTGCCACTCCATCGGAACCGCAGGCACCCCCGGAGGCCATCCAGATCTGAGCTCTCCCAGGCCTCAGATCTTCCATCCCTGACTCCAAGGGCAGAGCCATCCTCTCCAAACCATACCCCTCAAACTCACCTCCCTCCTACAGAACTGTCTGCCCACACCTTGTCCTCCCCAGCAGAACCCACAAGCCCCGAAACTGCTCAGACAGAGGTGCCCTCTAGAACCAGGCCTGATCCCACACGGCCCCACCCCAGAGCCCAGGCCTCTGGCACAGAGCCTCCCTCGTCCATCTTTTCCCCAGGAGAAAGTAGCTCCTTCCACGTGTCCCCTCAGCCAAGAATGCCAAGTTCCCAGAGTTGGGCCAGTCCCCGGGTGGCAGAGAGACACCCTAATCCTTTCCTTTCTGTCCCTCGGGGCCGAGGCCAGCAGAGCCGGGAACACTGGAGACCTGGGGGGAATCTTCACGGGTCCCTCACAGAGTCTGCCCCGTACCACCCAGATGGCTGGCTGCCTCTGCTGAGTGCTGGCCCCCACTCCAGCTCCCTCTGGAGCCTCTTTGCTCCCGGTAGCATTGTCCCAAGATGTTCTGGGGAGATTGAGCAGCTGAGAGCCTGCATCCAAGCGGTGAGTTCTTAGACTGCCCCCCACCCCCCGTCTTCCAATTCTGCTTCCCTGACCCTGAGTCTGGGTCCTCAGCTTGTCAGATCTGGACCTGAGGGAGAAGGGCCTTGGCATCTGACCGCCTCAGGGTAGGGCCTTGGAGCTCTTCCATAGACCTGACCTTCCCTCCTACCCCCCACATCCAGCCCTGACCCACACCCCCATTTTCCTCCCCAGCTTTGACTCCTCTGTATCCCCCCACCTCAGCCCTGCCCCCCTGAGCAGCCAGACCCCCGGGCCCTGCAGTGTGCAGCCTTTGACTCCCAGGAGTTCATGGGCCAGCTCTACCAGTGGGAGCCCTTCACAGAAGGTGAGGTTTCTAGCCCACCCCCTGGACAGAGGGGCTTGAGATTGGGGGATGATGGGGAAAGGGAGACACCCAGCCCCTCTGTTTCTCTTTTGTAGGGAAGAATTTGTATTTCTTCTCTGGGTCATATTTTCTTTTTTATTCCCCAGGGTTGTGGTGAAGAGAGAGCACAGGCCTGGCAAGGGGGAGGGGGTTTCAGACAGGGCTCCAGCTGTCAGATGGTGGTGGATGGTCAGTAGAAGGGTCAGGCCAGGAGAAGGATGTGTCCATAGGTGCCCCTTGACTGACTTCCTCTGGGAAGAAGTCCATCCCAGGAGGTGGGGTGGACATGACAGAGGGGCATGGTCACAGGGATCCTGTCCAGTGGTGACAGCAGGGCGGGGTGTGCCATGGATCCTGGGTGGTCTTACATCACTTGCGTCCAAGTTACCATCCACTTGATTTTAGGCCTATGTCAACTTGATGCCAAGACAACCCCTCATGAGCTCTGAACTCACTTAATCATGGTTTCAAGTATCTCTCTTTTCTCAGCGTTCACAATCCCTTTGCTGGTCTCAGTGACCTCAATTGACCTTACTCAACTTTTGTGTGACCCTCAAACCAACCTTTTTTTTTTAAATTTTTTTTTATTGATGTTTTAATAGTTTATAACATTGTGAAATTTTGGGTTGTGCATTTTTGTTTGTCCATCACGATATATATGTCTCCCTTCACCCCTTGTGCCCACCCCCCACCCCCACTGCCCCTGGTAACCACAATACAATTTTCTCTGTCCATGTGTTGGACAAACCAACCTTTTAGAGTACGGAATTGTCATGTTCCCTTCATCACAGTGACCTGGGAAACCTCAGGATGCCCCATGGCTAATATAAGCCAAGCTGCTGTCTGGGCCCTGGGGTCTTTCCCAGTTAACCTCCCAGCAGGGACCCGAGCTAATCACCCTTTGACCCTGTCTCTTAGTTCAGGGCTCCCAACGCTGTGAACTGAACTGCCGGCCCCGTGGCTTCCGCTTCTATGTCCGTCACACCGAAAAGGTCCAGGATGGGACCCTGTGTCAGCCTGGAGCCCCAGACATCTGTGTGGCTGGACGCTGTCTGGTAAGGGAGGATGGGGTGCGCACACGCACATACACACAGTCTCCTCTTCATCATCACAACAAAACACCAGACTAAGTTTGCAAAGAGGAAAGTTCTCACCTGCCAGGCTGGGCTGAGTAGAGCCAAGAGGTGAACTGAAGAAGGATCCCTTCAGGCACATCCAGGCGTCCCTGAGGCTGGCTGGGGTTGGGGGGGCTGACAGAGAAACACATTCTCACTTGTAGTACAGGATCCCAGGAGGACCAGGCTGGGGTGTGAGGCGATGCCTGGCTTCGAGCTGCCCCTGCCTCCCCACTTTCTCCCAGAGCCCCGGCTGTGATGGGATCCTTGGCTCTGGCAGGCGTCCAGATGGCTGTGGAGTCTGTGGGGGTGATGATTCCACCTGTCGCCTCGTCTCGGGGAACCTCACTGACCGGGGGGGCCCTCTGGGCTATCAGAAGATCCTGTTGATACCTGCTGGAGCCTCCCAGCTCCAGATTGCCCAGCTCCGGCCCAGCTCCAACTACCTTGGTGAGCTCCACGGATTCCCTGAGTCTTGAGTCCCCATGCCATTCCTGGTCTCTTGGTTCTGCCCTCCACGCCCCCATTCAGCACAGCAAACAAACCAAGCAGGGAGAAGTCAGGGGCTCCCCCTCCCTCCCTCATGGAGGCAGTGAGGAAGCCGAGAGCATGGGGTGTCTGGGGCTCCATGCGTTTAAGGAAGTGGTGGGATATGAGGACAGTATGACTAACCTTGTGTCCTGATCGCCCACCTGCAGCACTTCGAGGCCCTGGGGGCCGGTCCATCATCAACGGAAACTGGGCTGTGGATCCCCCTGGGTCCTATACGGCCGGTGGGACCATCTTCCGGTACAACCGTCCTCCTCGAGAGGAGGGCACGGGGGAAACTCTGTCAGCCGAAGGCCCCACGACCCAGCCTGTGGATGTCTACGTGAGCTTGGGGCTTGGGGAGGCTGGGCTGCTGGGGAGGGAGGCCTTTCCCTCTGAGAACAAAGCTGTGGGTCTCAAGATGGGGGAGAGAGCTAGTGGTATGCCCCCCAGGCCACCCCCAAATATTCATTACCTTCTCTTTTTCTCCCCAGATGATCTTTCAGGAGGAAAATCCAGGTGTTTTTTATCAGTATGTCATCTCTTCACCTCCTCCAAACCCTGAGAACCCCACCTCAGAGCCCCGTATCCCCCAACTCCAGCCTGGTGAGATTTTGATCCCTAGACCTAGAAAGAGGGGGAGAGGCTGAACAGGGAGCTCCGAGGCAGTGGGGATGCCTCTGATTTGCCTACTCCACTCTCCCTGCACAGAGATGTTCAGGGTAGAGCCCCCACCAGCTTCAGCACCCCGCCCTGCCCGGACCCCAGGCACCCTCCAGCGTCAGGTGCGGATCCCCCAGATGCCTGCCCCGCCCCATCCCAGGACACCCCTGGGCTCTCCAACTGGATACTGGAAACGAGTGGGGTACTCTGAGTGCTCGGCATCCTGTGGAAAAGGTGAGACTTCACGCACCAGTCTGTGTTCCAGGCACTAGCCCAAATCCCCAACTTGGCGCTCTTGATCTCATACCCTGGATCATGGGTCCACACCTCGACGCTGTGCCAAATCAGACTCCAGTACCTGGGACCCCACTGACCATCCCGCCTCCCCTGGCTTCCCTCTCATCCCCTTCAGGTGTTTGGCGCCCCATCTTCCACTGCATTTCTCGTGAGTCAGGAGAGGAACTGGATGAACGCAGCTGTGCCACGGGCGCCAGGCCCTCAGCCTCCCTAGAACCCTGCCACGGTCCCCCGTGCCCCCCATAGTGAGTATGACCCACAGGGAGGGTTAGGGTCCTCAGTTGCCCTGGGCAAACACATCCTTGCTTCCCATAGAATATCACCTGGACTCGACACTCAACACAAGATCTCCTGGCTGCAGAGAGACAGTATTCGATTAGAAAGGCTGACATTCCATAGATAGCAAGAAAACTCTGGCAGCCTGAGCCCCACAAGGGAACCCAGGCTCCAAATGCTAACTATGCCCACTCTCCTCTGAGGGGTCCCCACCCCGAGTCTGTCATCCTTCTCCCTGCACATGGCAGCCCCACACATCTTCTCTTTTTCGCCATCTGTGTCTCTCTTCTCCCCGCCCTGCCAATGCCCACAGCTGGGAGGCCGGCGAGTGGACGTCCTGCAGCCGCTCCTGTGGCCCTGGCACCCAGCACCGCCAGCTACGCTGCCGGCAGGAGTTTGGGGGGGGCGGCTCCTCAGTGCCTCCGGAGCGCTGTGGACATCTCCCCCGTCCCAACATCACCCAGCCCTGTCAGCTGCGCCTCTGTGGCCATTGGGAGGTTCGTTCCCCCTGGAGCCAGGTGAGTGGGACCAGGCAAGGAGTCTCTCAGAGTGGGGAGGATCCTAGAGGAGGGGGCACAAGTGAGCTAGAGCAATGGTTTTTCGAACTTCTTTTTTTTTTTTTTTTT